CCTTTACGAAAAGTTGCGCCTCTGGCAGTATTTCGTTTTGTGAAACAAGTGTTAATTATTCTTTTTTACGATTATTTTGTCGTTAAAACTGAAGACTGATGTGGGAAAGAATTTTTACTACATGTTATCATCCGAACATCATTATAATAATGAAAAACAAAGTTATTTCGAATTTTAGGTATTGTTTATATTATTGATTGTAGTTATGTTCGTTTAAAATTATTTAATCCCGAATTTGGTTTTGAAGTTTTAACAACATTACCAATAACACGTTCATCAGCATTACAACGTGTTGGGCGAGCTGGTCGTGTTCGTTTAGGTAAAGTTTATCGTCTTTATCCTGCAACAGAATATGAAAAAATGAAAGAATTTCAATTACCTGAAATGCAACGATGTGATTTAGCATTAGCTGTTCTTCAAATAAAAACATGGGTATACATAATATTGTTCGATTTGATTTTCCATCACCATCACCATCAAAAAATCTTCTTCAAACTATTCAATGTTTATATGCATTACATGCTATTGATGAACAATCTCATTTAAAAGCTGATTTAGGAATGAAAGTGGCTGAATTACTATTACATTCAACACATGTACGAGCATTAATTATTTCATCCGAATATGGATGTACACAAGAAATATTAAAAATTATTCCATCACTTCAAGTTAAACATGTTTTTCTTAATCCACCTAATGAAAGAATGCATGCAACCAAATTACATGTCAAATTTGCTTGTCAAGAAGGAAATCTTATTACTGTACTTAATGTTATTAATGCATTTGAACAACAAATCATGCCACAACAATTTTGTGATAAGTAGGTCAAATCAGTACATCTTTTCAAATGATCTTATAAGAGAACGAATTTTTTTTGTCTTGAAAATATCCATGACTTACGAATAATTCAACTTTAAGTTAAAGAAAAAACTTAGCAATTGCTCTGTTAAGCTCTTCCCCCCACCCTCTCAAAAAAGTTACTTTTCGCCGAAATGGTCGAAATTGAGATAAATTCATGAAAAAATAGCCTTCATCTGTTCTTTCATAAATGACACAAATTTTTACTCGGCCCCTCTTTTTTTCCAAAAATTTTGGAAGATTTTCCTCACTCCCTATTCGAAAAACAAGCCGTTTTTACAACAAAACCAAAAATCATCTTTCGCTTTTCTCAGAACGTGGGCTTAACGACGTATCTACAACAGAACTCTATCATAGTAAGCGTTAAAGTCAAAATACTTTTTTTTGTTTGAAAGCTTGTGCCTAGAGCAAGCCTTCCTCGTGGCTCTTTTTTTAAAATAAGCCTTTTTAGTATCATATAAGAGAACACTTCTATAGAAACAGCGTCATTGTTTTAGGAATGTTTTGAGTCACTGAACTTGTCATTCCTTTCCTTCATTTAAAAAGTAAGAATTTAAAAAAAAGGGCCACGAGATGGGCTACATTCTGACATGCTCTTTCAAACAAAAAAAAATTAAATGATTAGAATGAAGACCCACAGAGAAAACTTGGGGATGGGTGTGGGTGTGGATGTGGATGAAGAGAACACCCACACCCCACCTATACTCACACCCGTAATAAATCATGTGTGGCATCTGTTGAAAATTGACATGTCAATTCAACATAATTTTGTATTATAACAAAATAAATTGATATAGAATCTATTAGTGCAATTAAATATGGTTGATTATTAAAACATAATAAAAGACTTTGTCTAAAAATTGTATCAAATGTTGTTTCAACATCATTGAAATTTATTTCATTTGATATTAATCGCTGTGTTCATAACGAAAA